ACTTGAAAGTGAAATAGCCTACGGTAACCGCTTGCCATTAATAAACTAACTAAACACATTTAAAAATATATATACTTCGCAATTACAATCGGTTTTAAGTAATGTAAATTTAAACACGCTAGCTAACTAACAAATCGTTCCGTACATTAAACATTTTTATATTACGCATAACTTTCAGCGAGCAAGCATTTTTTATACGGAACCAACTTTGTAATAAGCATAGATGCTTGTCAAGTTTTTTTTTGTAAAGCTCAACGCACAAGGTAACTTCTAAATCAAGAACGGTTTAATGATACCTTTTGGAATCAATTGAGTATTACGTTGTTGCCAAGCGGAGTGGCGGATGAAGGTCGCCGGTAAGAAGCCGCTATAACTCGACGCTTCGAATTTAGAGACTTAAAATTTAATATTATGCCTCTTTCTTTCAGAACTATAACTTGCATATCATATTAATGTGTTATTTGTGTACCTTAAAATATATTTTTACTTGTTTTAATAATAATAATATTCTAGCACATTTCTTTGAAGCCGCCGAAACGGAAATCTGTTACAGGTGATGTTTGCTCGGACTTTTATTAGTAGTATATTTGATTACGTGGGAGTTTTTGAAGTATGTAGAATAGTGTGAAATGTAATAAAATCAAGATACTACAAAGATATAAAAGATTTATGAAGTTCCTTTATTATGTTACATAGTATTTCTCATATTTAGTCGGCACGCGCTCTGTGATGTTTAGTATAGAAAACGTTATATGGTAAATCCTAAAAAGTTTAAATCAAATTAATGGTGGCAAACTATCGTGAAGATAGCTACAAATTGTAATATAATAAATATTTTTTTGTTGTGTGTGATCGTGTTCATGTGATAAACCCATATTATAACATTTTATGAGTTTGTCTTTGAACTATATCTCATAAATTTAATTATGCGTTTTTATAAATTTATTTTGCGTTAGATAACTCGTTTATTGAGGAAGGTTATAGACTGTATAACACTACGCTATGACGGCAAGAAGCTAGACACAAGGCACTTATTTGGACTTAAAGGTGACTCTCTCTCTTAGAATAAACTAACTTGATTCAAAATTTCTGACAGCCTTGCCTTTAAAGCCTATTTTATAATCCCGTGAGGAAAAAAGAGTCCAAATTATGGGTAAGAATGGGACAGATACATCAGTCACTATGGTTAATCCTGCTATGAATAGCCTTGTCCAAGTTCTAAGATGTTTTCCTACTATAGATAGAGAGAGGAACACTGTGGAATAGTCTCAGATAGGGCAACGGAACTGCAACATCAGTAGGTTGAAGAGCCCAGGTCACATACTTATATGTCTGTTCTGTCTCTTAAACAAAGACATCAACTAGCTATATAACAAATATAAAATTTAATCGATTATGGTATTTTTTAATAACTTTTGTTTTATAATTTTGTTTTATAGTTTCCTTTTTCTTATGCCTGAACTTCTGTATTTGTAATTAAATAATGCACTTAAGGAACCTACACCTTATAGAGAATTGCAATAAAGGAAGTCTTGTGGAATTTGTGCCCTTCCTTTTTTATTTTGCTTCTTAAATTGTCATTTTTTTTGTTATGTGAAATATTTAACCTGAAAAAGGGGGATAAAAAAGAATAATGCTACATAATCACAGTATAAAGTATATAAGAGAGATGTACAATAGAAAAGAAGTAAATTGAAGAAAAATAGTTTTTAGTTAACCACTGACTTTAGTTAAACAACAACACTCATTTTGATGGGCCACCAATATTTTGTATACATGTCTATCTTAACTAATATAATAAATCAATTGTAAGTTACTTTTTTTAAGTAGTAAAACGGATTAAGAATACAGAGTGTCACCACCCTTACTATTCATCCCTTGGTTGTTGTAAGGGACGGGAGCAAACTATGCAGGACAATAGCACTGCAAACTAGTCTGGCCAGCGTGGCCAAACCCTCCTTTTTACGTAAAGGCCTATGTCCATCAGTGGACTATAAAAGGCTGTTTTGAACTTACTTTGCAACATTTCACTACTTAATTGATCATCGTAAACTGTTGAATATTTTATATCATGGTTACAGAAAAGAATATGTATCTATTACCCACACAGCAAAAATATTTTATTCCCAAGGAGTTTCTGAAATACTTAATGTTACTAATGATAAAACCTACAATAAAGCCAGCAAAACTGCAAGGAAGGAGACTGATTAACTCTTCACATGCCTCTGATATGCTACTACACTGTAAACTGCTTTCACCGGTAAGCACTGTACATAGTAGTGGCAATATCAGAGGTTAAAGACGATCAAACCTTACATTTCGGTTTCAATATTAACATTAGTTATCTAGCATCTTAAATTATAGTAGGGGTAATCTAAGTCTCTCTGCCTATAAGTGAATGACCTATACAGAATGCAGATTACATATTGTGTGACAAGTAAAGTCAGGTATGTAGTAAATCATAAAAGATTATGTTCCCTAAGACATTTCAAATAACTTTGTAAAGAGGCAAATATGTTTAGACTTTGAATTATGACCATAATTTGTTGTTCCCATAAAAGAAATTCTGAAGGCTGTAGGATTAATACTGTTACCGTTACAATGGTATCAAACACTTAGTTACCATTTAAGTTATTGGTATATGGGGCAGAGCCAGGGAAGGCAACTACTTAGATTTTGCATGGTTATTTAGTAATAAATTTTTAAAAGTAATATATATCTCTAACTATTGATTTGCCCCACTTACGAACTGACAAATTAAAAATCTTAAACCCCGTGTTGTGGCATGCAAGCAAGCTTTGTAAGAGACCATGCAGCAATTAGATATCATCATCATCATCAACAGCCTATACTAGTCCACTGCTGGACATAGGTCTCTCCTTAGCAATTAGATATGAAAATGTAATATCAAACTTTATTTTTAATGATTCATCAAATCATTATGCCATTACATTAGAACTAAAATTCTTTCTATAAATATTAATGTAGAGCTTTCAAACTTCTACATTCATTAATTTCATTGTCTATTCGTGTACATTAGAATGATCTATTAAATAAATAAAAAGTGTGTATTAATTAAATATTAGTTAATTTGCTTTAGAAATCTAGAAAAGCTTATAATTAGCATTAATTTACAAAATGCAATGTGCATCTTACTTTTATCTGAGAAAAAATATGGTAAATAGAGAGAAAGCGAAATATATGGTATAATCCTTGTTATACTGATAGGAGAACAATGCCAGGGAGTTTTACTGTGTAAGTACTTATATACATACATCCATTCATATACAGAGATGGTTGATATTCCTTTTAGGTATATAATATAATATACAGGTAACACCTGAACTCGGGCTGTTAAAAGTATAAAATGAACTACGGTACAAAACAATGAGGATCAATATAGGATTTTGTTAAGTTCTTAATCATTAGCACTGTTAGGTAATTAAGTTTGGATAAACGATGCAACTGATCTTCATTATTGTGAAACTTAGTTTAACGTGACATACCTATGTATAATAAAAATAATAGCTTGACACATCTCACTTTGATTCCAAACTGTGCAGAGCCTGTGCTATGGGAACCAGACTGCTGATAAACATACTTATATATTTCTAAATACATCCATATTATAGATAAAATTACACCCAGACACAGAACAAATCATCATGCTCATAACACAATTTTTTGACCTGGGTGGGAATCAAACCCACAACGTCAGCTCCAGGGTCACTAACCAACAGACCCGTTGCATGCAATTATACATTACATACATATGAAAAAGAAAACTTTATAAAAGCATCCTACAAAAATATTGATAAATACTAGTAATTAACTATAAGAATAATATCCATTTTTATGATATAGGAACATACAGCAAACAAGTCTCTTGGCCTTTTAGATATTTTAGTTTCAATTAATGTGAAATGTTGTGTAATTTTTTTCAATTAACTAAAAACTGTAAAGTAAAATTTTAATTTTTAACCTCCTACATTAATTCTCTCCGTCTTTAAAAAATAATATCTACAAAACTAGCTAGTCTGTGGCATCCTTTTACATACATGAACCTTGTTTGAATCAAAAAGACTAAAGAACATTAGTTTCAAGCAATATTACAGAAATACTGTATATATTTATGTCCCCCAAATACTAATAAAACAGAAAATTATGAGATGAAGCATCACAATTTGTTCAAAGAAAAACTAAACCATTCCCTTTGAATATATTTACTACAGTAACCAAACTGAAGTAACAATAAATTTATTTTACACATCAAACTACATAAAACCCCATACATATCACAGTTCTAACACATAACTCCACTTCACAGTGATTATCAGATAGTTTCTATGTACACAGATATATAAGCATGTACTGCAAGCCTACATATACAAACTTATAGGTTATATACCTTGTTGCCATGCGAGATTTCATTGCTCTCTGGCAAGATAATTTGGATGTTACATGCCAATACTGAGTAGTGGTTATAACTATAATCACGTTTCCGACAAATTTAAGAGAATTCACTATAATTTTGTACCTAAATAAAGAGTAAACGAACGTATTGCGCGTATGTATATGTAGGAGACCTTGTAACCCTAATAAGACTTGTCAGATGACTTTTTTAGACTTTTATGACTCTAAGTTTTAATGCAAATTATTAATTCTCTGACTGCAAGCCTAAAACTAAAAAGTTCAGTGATTTTAATGTAGTATGAACGTAATTTATAGGTTATAAATTGTATGCCCTTGACAAAACTAAAAGGATGGTCACACCAGGCTGTCGCACTCGTTCTGATGAGGTTTAAAGACAGTAAACAACTCTGTTGATATGTCCTATTAGAATCACGGAATCTCAAGACCGAGCCCTGAACCCTTTATCGAGTATAAAGACTTACCAACACAACATCGATCTCATATTCAGCACACGGTAACGACACTAAAACACTAAAAAGGATACAGGCTAAGTCCAAGTTAAATCCGTCCTTGATATAGCGCTTCCGATGCTTGCTGACGATGCCCTTGATGGGGTTTGTCATTTTAATGTTGGACATAGAGTTGGCCATGGCTGTCAAGTGGTTGACTCGCCGCGGCAGCAGCTCCGCTGCCGCAGTGCCCTTAGCGGGCCTGCCCGCTCCCGGCACCGACCGCTTCTCTGGTGCCTTTCGCTCGCGGCGCCGGCAGCTCACACAATGACCCATAAAATAACCTCCGCCGCGCAGAATGTCCCCCGCTCATCGGACCGGCGGCGGAGCGCGAGCGACCACACCAAGGCCGCCACCGGCGCTCAGCTCGTGCCCGCCATACCCAATACTGCAACCGCCTGCCTGACCAGCCTTGCTCCAGCAGAGCCTGTGCTGCAACCTGCAGCGACCACTTCCACACCTCACCGCCAGACCGAAGGCACCTTACACTAAATATATATTACACTATAGCATAGCTCCACGCCCGGCACCGAACGCGTTCAAGACTCGCTATACGAGCGGTGAAAAATTATCTCTCGCGAATGGCGTCCATCCTGCGTTTGCACTAGTACACGGCCGAAGAGAAACAGTTGCACAAGAAAGATAGATGATTATGATGGCCGAAAGAGTATCGTACGTCTCTTTCGTACCACGCCACTACGCGTTTGTTAGAATAAGATATACAGTTAGTGTTGCCGCTTTAGGTTTAGCTATAGGAATATACGGGCCACAAACTATACGAAAAAATGTTAACCATATCGTCTGTTATTTTACATATTATTCTACCATAAATAAAATTGAAACCTAATGGTTACTTAAAGTCTCTTACTGACAGAATAAAAGTTAAATTACGGTATTAAATATTATTTCCTAATTCAAAAAATAAACCTTGATAAACTAAAAATAAATGTACCACAACGATTTTGCCTTTGTTCATGACATTTTGATTGTTCACTAGTAATGAACTGATGACTAAGTTTTAATCTTAAGTATAACTACTTAATAAGAGTTTGAAATCCATGTTGTGCAGCTGCACCTCAGATTATTTATATAAATTCTTTTAGAGCTGCACCTAGTTAAATTTATTTTATTTATTCGTGTCCTGCCAAAAATGTGCAATAAAATGTTATAATAATATCTCTTTTAACAAAAAATAACTTGTTGCTTGGGACCGTAAATATAATACATGTCAGACCTACCAGCATATTTTTACCTTTACCAAAAGCAATTAAATATTAATTAATGAAATAGTTCTACAATATATGTTCATCATAATCTTAAGACCTGAATTTCAAATTATTAATATACTTAGTAAAGTGCGTTTTTTTAATAATATTTAAAAAAATGTATTGTAGGACATTGTTGCACTCGCAAGTTTTTATTTTGTAAATAGTAGTTATCTACTAAAATATTTCTACTAAAAAATCAACATGAAAACGGCAACGCTGACAGTTCTAACCTCAATTTCTAGTAGCGGCTGAATCTCTTTGTTCAAGGTAGTTATCATGTTGGATCGCAAGGGAGCGCTGTTGACTAATCAAGCACTCCCAAAATTAAATAAAACTTAACTAATTTTTGCAAAAAAAATAGCAAGACTCTACGAAACAGAAAAGTGCAAAAAATTACCTGTACATTCTTTTATGAGTATATTTAGAAAACAAATTATATTTTTGAAAAGCACAGCATTTCTTGTAATACATTAGTACTTTTGATAGATGGCGCTAATGTAGAGAGAAAAGATTTTTTAGAGTTTAGGCGGCAAGCTCAAATCGTTTTTAATTAAAATGAAAACTAAGATTTGCCTATTGTTCCTATGGAGGTGTTATAAGAGATTTGATGCATATTGATTAAATACAGTTTTCTGATAAAAATGAATGAAGTAATTAAAAGTAATGTTAGTTTATTTTTATCATATTGAAGTTATTTTAAATAAATAATATTATTATAAAGGTCTCGCAACGAGTGAATTAAGTATTATCTCTGTATTTGTTCTAAATATGTATTGTAGTAAAATTAATGAAAGTAAAATTAGTATCCCAAATTACTTTCAGTTTTTGCTTTGAGCGCGTAGTTACGTCGTACAAATTATATTCGTAATGTTCAAACCGTATCACGGCTCAGTAGTTTTAAGTATCACATTTAGATTTTATACATTACAGTTCGTATTTTTTATTTATTAAATAAAAAACAACTCCCGCACTCGGAATATAAATATCCTGTGTCGCGGCCGTCGCGGGAGATTTATTTAAAGATTAAAATATGAGGTTTTCAGTTTGTCGGATTTATTAATTTGTTTGTCAATTACTCAAAGTAGGTTGCCCCTATTTGATTTTGTTACCCATATCATTCTTTTTTGTTTAAACGAGAATAAAAATATGTTCTATTGGTCCCATGGTAGGGTCTGATGATGTTTTGATTTCAGCTATTATAGACAAACCTATAGTGATTTACGCATTTTCATAGTTCATTGTGTTCATTTCTCGTGCATTTACTTTTGCAAAGTACCTACCATTTGAAGAAAGCAACAGATAGGTATTAAGAGCCTTCGGAAGTAATTAATAATATAGTATTTGTAAATTAATAATATAGTATTAGTATATTATAATTTAATTTTACTGCATTGAAAATAAGAAAAAAAGTGTGTATGTGCAATCACACATGGCAGAAGTGAAACTTCCGTTTTTTTTCACAGAAAAGCCCTATAAAATTTTGCTCTGCCCGGGAATCGAACCTACTAAGGCAGCGTTTTTCAAATTCCACACGAACGAAGTCGCGGGTACCGGCTAGTATTAATTAAAAATATAAAAATATTCACACTGTCAAAAAAATAATGTGTAATGTATTCCATCTCATTCTCTCGCCGACTTAATCCTATATATTTATATGTTTGTTTCTTTATCGTGACGCATTTCGTTTCATCGAGTTTCAAATCATAACGATTCTAAAGAAGTTTCACTGCAATAAAGTTTGTAATTTCTTAAAATATACTTTAACAAATGAAGTTCGCTATTCGACTAACTTGCTAATAAAGGCAGAACCAATATGTTCTGACACTAATGGCTTTCAAATTACAACAATTAACACTATAATTTAAATATAATATTTTCGGACAGCCGACACAGTACGCCATCTAGTTTCTAAGCAGAGCTTGTACTATAAATGTGCTTGTACTATGATTGTAAATACATAGGTACATATTATACATACAGAACACCCGAACTCCGAAACAAATATTTACAGATCATACAAACATTTGGTCCGACCCGGGTATCGAACCCGAGACCGTCACACCGAGGCAGTATTTACTACAATTCATACAAATAAATAGTTATATGTATACACAATGAGCAAAGTTAAACAGAGTGACTGCCACCGCCCATGGAACCTGCAACTCATGTGACAGCCTTTAAGTTCTCCCACATCCCTCCAGATTTAGATCCGGTAAAGTCACTAGACATGGAAATTATAGCACCTTGAAATCATATTCATTTGATGAAATGATTCGTTTTGGTCACAGCGATTTCACATAAGATTGTGATCTAGTCAAAGATAAAGATAAATGCCATTAAAATCAATCCAAATTATTTTTATCAAAGATAACATCATATATATATGAAATTATTCGTTTTGGTTACAGCGATTTCACTTAAGATTGTCTTTTTTTTTTTTTCCGTGCGGTAATCCCCTCGGATACCACCTGTCGGTAGCATGTCGGACTCGAACCGACTAAAACCGCACGCCGTCTCGGGTACTAATAGCCGTGGAACCAGGTATACCCTAGAAAGGAAGACATAAGATTGTCCTGACACTAATGGCTTTCAAATTACAATAATTAATACTATAATTTAGATATAATATTTTCGTACATCTGACACATTACGCCATTTCATCAGTCATACACTTATTACAGTGTCAACTAAATTGACAACAACCAACCAAACAATGATTCCACTCCGGTAGTCACAAGGTCATCACTAATTGTATAACAGATATGAATCATCTGTCATTGGTTATATCGTATCGTGTGTTCTAGTACCTCGATATTGCCAAGGTGCCACCCACTGTAAGGGCTGCCTAAAATATCTCTACAGCTGTATAAGAATGGATATGACCACTGTACTGGTGGTGACAAGATTTGGTGACTCCATAAAGAGCTATGCTTCTGCACAAATGGGTGGGCTCGATCGAAGTGATCAGAGCGCCTCACAGAAAACCAATGTTTAGTGGTTTTTTATTGCTTTTTAGTGAAAAGCAATAATAATCTAACATGTTTTTCAATTAAAATAAAAATAGTTGTTAATATGTGAAGAAAACTCTTTGTAGGTTCTCTCTTTTAAAGAAATATGGCGCACAAAAGCTAGATAGTGATCCGCCCCGGCTTCGTACGGGTGCAATGTAGATACTATTAATACTACTGATGTGGTGTCAGTGTGGACTAATATGTTATACTATTATTATGATAAGAATATACTACAGGACATGTTTATTGTAATGTTGTCTGACAAAGACGACAAAAAATGTTAAAGGAAGATCCGAAAAGATTATTTTTTGTATTTTTTGGAATGCCCAAATATACAACGAACGATTACATTCCCAATGAGGGAAAAAGGAAAGTTAAAACCATGTCGTAATTAACTGAAGTAGGGCGTGATAGTGAATGTCAAATGATTAAGAAGAATGGAAGAAGAAAACTCATTGCACCGACGTCACATAAATTTGAGAAAACAATAAGATGATGAAAATTATGAGGGTAAGTATTTTGAGGTTTTTAAAATATGGCTTTTTATGGTATAAGGGGGAAAACGAGCAGACGGGTCACCTGATGGTAAGCAACTACCCCCGCCCATGGACATCTGCAACTCAAAAGTCACAAGTACGTTGCTGCCCTTGGAGTCCCTCCCGCTCGAGTTAGCGGTAGGGGGGATTTGGATTTGATTGTGGCCTTGCTTTTAATGTTTGATCTTGTCCTAATACAGCGTTTTTATCAATACTTTACCGTATCTGAGTGTTGAACCTGGGCACAGAAAAAGGATCTTTTTTTTTCTTTGTTCTAAGTAACTAAGTAAGACTAATTTACTGGTCCTATTCCGTAGCATAAATAAAGCATAAGAGTGCCAGCTTAGCTTAATTACTACGAACCAGTAAATGACTAGTCTGATAGATAAAATACTTTTGCAACAGAAAGGGTAAATATTGCACAAGACACAACAATCCGCAATACCATGATGCAATATCTAGATTCTCATCTGTCATAAAATTAGGTAGATACATCTGGCTATTGCTATTTATTACAAGCACTATACATCTCCTTCCTTGTTGCACGCCTTTTCACCATTTTCTTTTTTCAAATACGCAACTCCCGCACTAGGAATTCACCTGTGTCGCGGAGGACTTTAAAAACATACATGCACTGCACGAATGGCGTAATGGTTTAAGCGGTCGCCACGCCACTT